TTTACTGGTATATTTATTTTTTAAATCTATATAATGTATACCGGGAAGGTAAAAGTCGTTCAACTCTTTAATAAAGATTAATAATCAAACAAAAGATATTCTGAAACTAATATAACATCGTTAAATCTTGTATTGTGCCAATATGTAAAATATAAATACTCCCTGAGTAAGGAATTGAAATTTTAAGAATTGGCCCTAAAGAGAAAATCCCCCAAATTGAAAGCCATACCAACCAGTAGCTTTTATTTGTATATTACATACACATGTTCTGTGTTTAATAGGCTACTATGCTGTTATTAATATATTGATGCCATGGAAAGAACCCCCATGACTTATTCTAAGGTAAAGAGCAGATTATAAAGTAGAGGAGCAAATTATAAAGTAACATGCATTCTTTAAACCATATATGCAAATATAGCTATATTTCTATGGACATACATGCAGGGAGATTGGCTAAGCACAAAAGTGATGGTGGTTTGAGTGGTGGTAATTTGGGACATATTTATTTTGTTCCTTTTCTGTTTTGTCTCCACCCCCCCTTTTTATTTTACAATAAGTATCTATATATTTAGCAAATGTACAAATTTTTTTTAAAAGATAAAAAGAAACTCGCTTTAAAAAGTGGCTTTGGAAAACAAGTTGTACATTTATGCGGAATTAAAATATCTGTATATTGTTCTTCTGCAAATGCTGAGTATTGGCCTACAACTGGGTTTCCAGTAAGACCTAAGTACTCTTTTGAAATATTAATCCGGTGGATATGTTTTACCTCTTAAATGCACATACACACACACACACACACACACACACACACACACACCATTTTAAGGCACAGAGAACAGTTTAAAAATACAAATGTTGTATATCTAACAAGAAATTGATTAAAGCTATTTTATTGTGGTGGCTAACTGACACACTTTTTAATATCATCTCATGATCAGGAAGCCAAATATATTATTCAAAGTTCTGAATAACTTGGTAACCTTTGTCTTCCTTTGTGTGATAAAGAAACCAGTGTTCATCATGAAGGAAAATTTGATCTCAGTAATAGGAATGTAGGAGAGGCAGGATCACAGATAGTGGTATGGAAAATGTTGGTTTATTTTCTGTATCATTCCTTCTGTTTCAAGGGGATGTAATTTATCTCTATTTTCCCTATATATGTTCCTCATGCTTCTGCTTCAAGTTCTAGGGTAGGATTTGAAGAATCAAAAACACCTTTTGTGGGTTCCACAGGAGATTGTATACACTTCGTGCTGAAGCAGATCCTGGAGGGGAGTGATAGCACAGACCAAGTACAGAGGGCCTGTCGCTGGGCATATTGCATCCACCCAGCTCTGCAGTCAGAAAGAGCTCCGGCATCTGGGCTAGACTGCCTGCCCCACCTGCCTCAGCCACGCCAAAGCCAAAGGTCCCTCAGGGCAGCAAGTACAGAGGAAGAAACACAATGGTGTAGGGTCAGCAGAAGGAAAAAAAAAAAAATGAGGATATGCATGAATGACGGTATATCTATCCCAAGAAATGCTTGAAAGAAATATGCAATTTTGTCAGCGTCTTTTCTTCTGATGCTCAGATCTTTTAATGGCAGCTTTCCTAAACCTCTCTTGAGCTGTTTCTCTCTGTTTCTTCTTATCGTTCCTCCTCTTATTCAGATACATCTTCATGAAAGTACTACGCACATTCATTTTTGAGAAAATTCCTTGGTTTGCAAAGCATCTCTTTGTGCATGTGCAGGTCAGTGTTTATTTGTTGCCTGCCTATAAGAACTCCAGGGGTTCATGGAGATCATTTTCTTACACTGTGTACCACACACTACAAGGAGACATGGCTGCCGTCAAGGGATCTGTGCCATCAGAACATTTGGTTTTTAGTCTCCCAAGTCCTCTTTGTTTTTGATCGTGACATTTCTTCGTGCTCAGATGCATACATGATGTAACATTCTTTGTTGATGTTCTGAAATGTGTTTTAGAGTTATTTTGGCTTAGCACAAAATAAGAATGGGGCTCTAAACTTTTCTGGTTGAAATGCTAATCTTGTTAGTTTTTTTTTTTTTTTGGGGCTCTAAACTTTTTTGGTTGGAATGCTAATCTTGTTTTTTTTTTTTTTTTTTTTTTTTCTTTTTTCTTCTTTTTCCCTTGCCTTTCTGTACTATGCATATTTGTTTTAAACCCAAGACTGGTACTTAATAGACCCTAGACTGTTTTGTTGGAAACAGGGCAAATGAAAATTCTCTCTAGAGGATTTGTGGGCTTTTACTGCGGTGGGGGAGTATGCCCTAAAGGGGAGTTCCTTGCAGCCTAATTGTTGAGGAGTGGTGGAAGTTCAACAGCATGGAAATTCTACTTCTCGCTTCAGCTGACAAGGCGCTTTTAAAGGTAGCTGGGCTATTTTAGCAATTTGCCTTATTTTGAAAATCCAATTTGGGAGTTTCATTAAAGGGCATTAATTTAGTGTCTTAGGGGAATGTGTGTTTAAAGGAGCTTGTCAACAATCTTAGGTGTTTGCCAGTGTGTAGGTGAGCTCAACTCCCCAAGCTGGAGTTACTTGGTTACATGTATGCTCCTCCATTTCAAAGATGATGCTAAATAAACTCAAGAGCCTTCAGACCAAGAGAGCACTTACTCCCTCTTCCCCACTAATCACCTTCCATTGATAAAGTTAGCATGTTTTTGGTGCATAAACATATCTGCAACTGACATTGTAAATCTGTTACCCAGAGGTTCTATAAGGAAGACAACAGTTTTAGTTACTTTAGTAATAGTTAATATATGATGAACCATCAACCTTAGAGAATAGTAACTATTTCAAATTGTTTAAGGAAATACACACACTTTCTCAATGTGTATAAGAATCACTTACTGCTCACTGTTTGCTTTATATTCCCTGGAGTATATTTCAGTCCCACATTGGGATGCAAAATTTTAAAATTGGCTAGCTGAGTACTAATTTTCTACATGGCTTCAAATAAGCTCAAGCCTTTTCCAATTCCTACTTTGCTGACAAAATACAACGAGAAAAGGTAGAAATTTTAGTTAAAGCAAATTAATGTTATTCTTCTTTGGAATGCTTTCGTTTTAAAATAAAGCTTAAAATCTGCGAGATACTGCAATAAATTTTGTCATCAATTTTGTCTATACACCATTAAGATATGGAAACATTCTGTTTTGTTAAGAATAGTGACCAAGTTCTCCCTTTCCCCACAACTAATAGCTATAATTTCTACTCCAGTTTATTGCATCAAGTTCCATTATTTTTAGTAAACTCTCAGAGTGCAATCTGATTCGTTGTACAAAGACTTTGTGTTAACAGCCAGCTGTTACCTGTGCATCCATTCAGGAGAAGCTTGGGTGTGGTCCTGTTCAGAAGAGAAATCAAATTCACTGATTCTCTTCTCATGCAGGTTCAATTGTATAAATTTATGACACAGCACAACTTGGCACAATTTCCCACAAAGAAAAGTATGTTTTTCAGAAGATGACTTGTGATGAAAGGAAAAGAAAGTGAATTAGAAATATTTTTAGTAATTTGTCCTTGAATTACATACGGCTGGAAGGAGGGAGAAAATACTTGTAAAAATGATTTTGGAGAGGGCTGAGTAGAAGTTATTGAGATATAGATGAACGTAACAAGGTCCTGAACTCTGTAGGTTTGTCTTGCCTGACACCTCATACAGCAGATTCATTCTTATTCCAGCAAGAGCTGAACCCTAAGGGAGATTATTTCTAATAGTTGGATAATAATTATCTATTTATCAAGGGGCAGTACAACCTTATTCTATTTTTTACAGAGAATTTTCTAAAGGTACACATATTACTTATTTGAAATTTATAATCAATATCTTAGCATATATTAACATTGTCACAGCTGTAGAAATCACATTTCTTTAACAATGTGGAAGGGACATCTCAAAAAATCTGTGTGGGTCATTAGTGGGGGGTGTCAATAAGTGAAACTAAAAGGAGGTGGAAAATTTTATGACACGGTTTATACTAGTTTTTTATTTGTTGTCTATTCACAAGGTTTTTGCAGCTGGTGAAAGTTGATTTTCTCCTCTTCAATTTATTGTGGGATGGGGCGTTCATTGCATCAGATCCAGTTACTTGGTGTCTACGTTTCAGAAGCTGAATTGCTGGATACTGTCAAAATGAGCTTTGGCAATTCCATGCAAGAGTGTACAACTATAATTTTGTTTCACATTAATAACAACCTAGCAAAGAAGCCCAGAATCAAAAGCCTTGCTCTCAGCTGGAGACAGAAAGCTAGAGTGGTATATCTTGGCTGGTGACCTATAACGTTGGAAAAGTAGGCTCTACATTCACTCAGGAGGGGTGGGCGGTATTCCGGAAATGTATTCACTATCCTCCGCTACACCTTTTCCTCGTTTTCTTTTTTATTATTATTATTATTTTTTTCTTCTCTCTCTCTCTTTTTTGGTAGTGTGCTCCCTGAGACAACGAGGAGGGAAAAAAAACTGAATTACACAAAATAAAAATCGTACATCTCCAGAACAAACCCTTTTATTATCAGATGCCAACTCTGCTCCCTGCCCCAAGCCTTGCCCTTCCTGGGTTTCTGCGGCTCTTCGGTGATTCTCATCTCTCATCGGCGCTCGGGTGAGCAGCGGTCTGGGGAGTGCACTTGGTGCTGCGCGCCGGACTTTTAGTCTTGCTCAAAGCCGAGAATCTCCAAGAGCTCTGAGACCACAGATTCATTCGGGTGGGGTGAGGTGTTATTGTGGGGTCGTCTCTGCAGAGTTGGCCTGGAGAGTGAGCTCCTGAGGAAGGCAGCGGAACAAGGCTTCGCCAAGTGTCCCTGGGAGTCAGGGGGCGCCCCCCACCCACCCCCCGAGCGGTACGCGGAGGGCTGCGGCACTGGGGGTGGGGAGGGTGGCGGGAAGGCGCGCCTGCTGGCTGCGAGCAGGGAGGCGGTGTGGAGGGGCAGGGGGCAATGTGCCAGTTTTCTCTCTGATTAATGATGCTCACGCTGCTGCGCGTGGCTCATGCGCTTTGTCTCCAGCTTTGGGGCTGGCGGAGAACGGCCCAGGGAATGGGTGGCACCGGGAGCGCCAGGCACTCCCGGCTGGTGCCAGCACTCTTGCTGGGGCAGCTCTGGCCGCGCTCCGTGACAGAGAAGCCGGGGCACACGGCAGGCACCCAGTCGCGGCTACCTCCCGGGTGTGGCGGGTCAGAGGACCCGGGTCTCTGGCCCGAGCAGCTGCAGGGCCACGTGCAACACGCGCGTTGCCTTCAGCCCGGGCGGGGACCGGACGCATCTGGGGCTGCGGGAGGAGCCGGGCGCCGCCCCTGGTGGCAGTGCCAGCCTCGTGGGAGGGCACGGATGGGCGGAGGGGCAGACGACGGAGGCGTTCAGGCAGGGCACGCGGGACCGAGGGACTGACCCAGGCTGGCTGGCTCGGGTGGGACCGGCAGAGCGACGGACAGGTGTGAGCAGTCAGACTGCCTGCGAGAGAGACCAGGAGGCGCAGAGACAGCACTCAGTAGGCAGAGAGAGAAGCAAGCACTCGCGTGCTGCCTCCTTCCTTACGCCGTCCCCTGACCAAGGAAGCGGCCAGGGGCACAGAGTGGGCGAGAGACTGCGGGCACAGAGGACGGGAAGAGGTGGGACCTCTTGCATTGCTGGTGGACCGAGGGACGCAGAGGGACTGACAGACCGACGCACAGACAGGCAGCCGGTAAGAGTGACAGCTTCCAGAAGGCACAACGCAGGAAAGCGAGAATCGCGCGCTGAGCTGCCAGACTGACCAACAGACGGTCGGACTGACCGACGCGCAGACGAACGGAAGAGTAGACGGGAGGCGGCGGCACTTTTATTCCACCGGGCCAGCCGGGCAGAAAAGGTGGAGGCGGCGCCCTCTAAGAGCGTCCGGAGAAGCGACCAGCAGGAGGGGCCGCGGGGACTCAAGCCGCAGCCCACACCGTCGCCGCAGCGGTAGCTGCCAGAGCTGTGCAGAGATCCCAGCCAACACTGCAGAAAGCTCATTTTACTACCAGTTAAATAAATCGACCAAAACCAAACCAAACCAAAACAAAACAAAAAACCCCAACAACAACAAAAAAGCCGAGCCAAAAACCAAACCAAACAATCCAGCCAAATCAATCACTGAGAAACAGTAATATTAATAAAGTCCCCAAACTAAATCAGATCAATCAAGGCACCAAGACGCTGGGGGGATATCCACTGTTCGATCAAGGTAATAATCAAGGTTTTCCGACGTGAACATTGCATGCCTTTTGTGGATTTCTCCCCCTTCTTTCTATCTGCCATATATCTGTGCTTTTCTTCTGACTTGTTTCTTGTCTGTATTTCTTCTTCATGTTTGTAGAAAGCTGCTGTCATTATATATGTATTGTGTCTTTATGTTTCGTCGAAGGAGGGATTCCTCTTCCCCCAAATGAGGCAGACATGGAAAGCTGGAAGTAAATTGAAAAGGACAATGCTTTTCATCAGAGAAGTCTACAGTGATTTAATGCAGGTTTCATGGTTGAAAGTTCGGAATGTTATGTCATCTGAAAGAGAGCTATAGAAGGTGTAGAAAGTAAAAATCTGTTTGTTGTCCTGGCAGGACTGGGGTCCTGGGTCACAAGGGTTGAGGGGGGGAAAGAAAAAAGATGTTCGGTATTTTTACATGCTTGAAATATGTGTTTCATTGCAACTTTCAATTTAATATCTTATGTCACAGGTTGTAGATATGGTGGTAAAATTGAGTTGAATTAGACAAGTGTGTAGAAAGTTTCTTAGGAAGAGGAATTAATTCACTCAATGATTATGCATAGAAATATAGCCCCAGTAGATGTGTTGCTGTCAGCTGTTCAGGTTCAATACTTGATCACCTCCTGAAGACACAGGGTAAGGACAGAGTCCAAGCTTCAAAGGAAAAACAAAGAAGAAATTGAAAGTTATAGGGGTGGGAAACTAAGGAGTACAATGTGAGTCTAGTAGAAATTGCTTTCATGAGAATGCATTTAAAGTGTGGAAAATTCATTTTGATTTCTGATTTCTTAAGACTAATTGTATGACACTTCAGCCTCTCCAAGTGAGAATGACATTTCCCAAAGTTGAAATGAACCTGTGCAAGACTTTGTTCAAATACAGAATAAATCCAAATTGTTCCCTCCCTCTCCTCGTCCACTTTGGAGACAAAACTGCTATGACTGTTTTAAGTAAACAGAGAAATGGAGATGACAGTAAATCATTTTTCATTTGGTAAAAGTCAGAAAACCTTTGACACACATTTTAAAATAAATACACCTACTCCTTTGATCTCCTGTATTTGTGTTACCACAGGGCCTACATGCCTTAATAGGATTTTAGTGAATGTCATTTTCATGAAAGACAGTCATTTGGAAGCCAAGAAATCTAGCTATGTTTGTTCAAGTAGATGAATAATCTACTATCTTGTCAGTAATTGCTTCTGCTACATTCCTAATGTGGATCTCATGTGAAAGATTATGTATATACTCTTTTCAGGTTTATATGGATTTTCAAGGTATGTGTTTGTTTGTGTCTGATCCTATATTTCCTTTGTTATCACATTCTTTTACATTTTATCATTTCAATTAACAATATTTTTAAATTTGCTGAAGAGTAAAATAAGTGTATTCTTTAAGGAATATACTTCCTCATCACAAAAGAATAATCTATTACTATCTTTGCTTATCAATACTATTATGATTTGATTTAAATGCAATTTTTAAGACATTTAGACTGCTATGCACAAAAAGAATTAAGTTACTCCAGAGGAATGCCTATTAAACAGAGTACTTTGTTTAGGTGAGGCATATTTAAAGAAATTTATAAAGCTCCAGAAATTGACTTTCAGCTTCTCAGTGACTTAATTTCACTACATGCTAATTTCTCTTTTACAATATTCAGCTCAAACTGAGACAGGTTTGTGTGTGCTATGAGATTTGCAAATTGCTGATCTCCCAGTGACTTTCCCTGTTAGATCCCAGTTGACTATGGTTACCTTGAGAACTGTGGCATTAGCCCTGTTAGAGCATGCTCCACCGGGGAGTTCTGTGCAGTCTATTTTTAATGCTATTTAATGAAGGAGCGAGCGCCTCACTCAGCAATAAAAGAAGCATGAGGGAAGACAGAGCAGTGCGTGGTTATGGATACTGGAGAACGATATTTGGAAAGGTAAAGACTAGCTGCTGGATATGGTAACTTTAATTAGGTCCTAATATATTGCATTAATAGTAATCATTGATTTTAGTGACAGAATTATATATGAATAGTTTGATAAGTTTTTCATAAACCTCTTCACTAGTTCTTAGAAAGAAGACTTAATAATTTGAGTTCCTTAAAACTTGTAGAAGATACTGGGCAGTTCCTGCATGCATGCTATTTTTAAACCAAGCTGTCAAATTCTTGGGTAGTGAGAAGTACAGAAATAATTACAAATTCCTAAAATATTGTTCCACCGAAGGGTCTGGAGCTTGTAAAACATTCTGAGAATAAAATAACTAGCATGTTCCTAAGATACTATGATAATCTGAAGATCTGCCTGGTGAATTGTTTTATTATCTTTCATGAACTTAGAGTCTTGGTCCAGAATTCCGGCAACTAAGTGAAGCAGGAAGTTTTGGTTGAACTTGATAGAATATTTGGGTTGTTTTCTTTCCTTAACTTTGAGATAAATACCACATATTATCTTACTGAACGCTAAATATTTTTTAAATGTAGGTAGCAGAGGCATCACTGGTAACTTTTAAAATGGTACAACGAGGGGCAAAATATCTTAACATTATACGGTGTAAAATACAAGAAGCCATCTGTCTTCAACGTTTGTAAATATACAGAACACCTGTCTTGAGATTGAAAGTGAGAATGTTCAATCAGAAAGGTCTCTGTTGTTCATTTTCATATTAACAACATACTGTAATCAGGTTATTTCTTTGTTCAGAATGAAGCTAATTAGACAAATTGCTTAAGTACTTTCAAAATTAATAAACATAAGAGAAAGTGAGTAGTTTATTACATTCAATGGGGAAGTGAGTCATATAATTATTTTTTAAATGAAGCTCTTAGAACAATGTGCAAATTTGGGCTGGATTTTGCCAATTTTTATGAAAAATAATCCCCAAAAATAAACTACTAAGGGAAATACATCACCAGGAGGTAGTGTGATTTTTTGTTTGTTTGTCTTTTCAACTTAATATTTCTAGAGGAGGAAAACAAGCCATGCTGGCTATAACATTTCTGTTAGTGATAATGTCATTTGGACCATGATGCTGATACCTTTCTCAAGCTTCTCGGTCAGTTGGCATTTCCATCTGCATTCAATGTGTATTTGTCTATGGATAAGATAATGATAAGCTACATGAGTAGAGTGTGGAATGAATCAGCCACTGAACACACAATATGCAACGTAGCCAAAAGTGAATATAATTGAGAATTCGCATTGGTATGAGGAGACAATTTAAAGTCCATAAAGTTGGGAATTGCAAATTAACCGTTTGCAAACAAGTCAGTTTAATTTCAATCTGGTTGGTGACAAGGTTAGCAAAGAATGTGGGGCTTAAAAGTGATGTCGACACTGAAAGCCATTTCTTCAAATGGTAAGTACTGGCATCATTCTAATTGGTACCACACAGTGGTAGCATGTTTAGAAATTTGTGAATCTCAAATCACAAAAAGAATTGGCTTCCTTAAAAATGCATTCTATCACCTGGGAAGTTCTGGACATATTTTAAGTCAGTGATGATGAACTTATAAAATATATGCTCTCTCTCTTTAGAGAAAGAATCTTTATTTTTTTAGAAAAATCTATGGTTTCAGAAGCTCTGTGTTTCTGTGGACTTTGCTTTCTTTTATTTTTCACTTTAATATTTAATGTTAAATATGATAAATGAGTTTCAAGCAGTGATATAAATAAATATTGAAGGACTGTTGAAGGTAAAAATGAATATTGGCAAGATGTATCTGTGACTGGATTTGTTTTTCTCAGGGTGTCTTTGCTTCTGAGTGTTAGGTTCTTTAAAGGTGTCCTTATGCCAAGTTCTAATAAACTGATTTTTTTTTCAGTGCCTCCGTCTTATAATTTAAATTAATTTTGCTTATCTTGGATTAATCTTGGTCCTAGATATTAAAGTACTTATTACTTATATTTATATCACAGATATTTCATTTCTATTAGAATTGGATATAAAATGAGATAAAAAGTATTTAAGTTGCAAACATAATATGCTTGATACAGAATAAAGTGCTGAGACAGAATATCAAGTGCATTCAGCAGTTTAATGTTTGGTAACATTGTTATCTTGTGGTCTCAAAATCTGCTGCAGTCTGGTGATATTTTCTTAAGGCATAAGTGTCCATATAACATTTTGAATGCACCTTTCTCTAAAATTATGGGGACATATCTGTGCCTTGGGAAATAGCCATGCAGGTGAATCAAAAAGTGAATTGAAATAATTACATTGGGACAATTATGGGAATATTGAAAAAAACAAAGGTGTTGGTTTGAATACCCCAAATTGGCTCTCCACTTCCAGAATGAACCCTAGCGTCATCTTCTGCTCCTCTTTTCTCACTGCTAACATAGAGCCCAGTTTTAACAGGTGGGGAGAATGTTAATCACTGGCTATGATCACGGTAAATCAATACTTTAAATTCCTCTACACCCTTTTCCCAAGAAATTCTCTTCTGGAAGTTTTTATAATCCCCCCTTAATATACCTGACAATGTGACAGGTTTATAAGATTTTTTTAGAAGTTTCATAATCAAGTGATATCTATTAGTATAAAATTGTAATTGTAACTTATTAAAATGCTGAAGAATTAGTCTAAAATTGTTTCACTCAAAGGAAAATATTCACAATTATTCCTCAGTTATAAATTCAGACAACATTTTTATTCTTTACAATTGTTTCCATTACAATGAAGAAAATCACTTCATTTTCTCCAGGTGAAGGGGGGAATAATCCACTAATAACTATTTTTAAAATGGGACTTTTACCACATTCTCACATTTCACACTACTTCACAATGATACAGCTATTCTTAAATTAGGACTCTATTGCGGATAACACAAGATATTAAAATTTGTGTTAAAATCACTTCTGTAAATAATAACATTGGTTTTAAAATGATAGCAAATAAAATTTATTCTTAGTTTAAAGGAAGGATTCAAGATTTTTAATAGCAAACAATTACACCATTTTTTATTTCAAATATTTTGTCAAATTTT